AAGCGAGGCAGAGTATACAACACGGGTGTATGGCGAGGGTACCAGATCTGGATCAGCTTTCAGGTACTTCTCAGGATCACGTAAAAGCACTGGCTTGATTACACACATGAGACGAAGATATGTTTTGAGGATCCTAGATTGTATTTTTAAACAAATTATGAACATGTGTTTCTAATAATTCGATATTTTTGGGAATTCTGAGATTGTTTTAATGAGATTAAATGTGATTCTTAAAGGAAAATTTTGTTTGAAAATTTATGTTGTTACATCTCAAGGTTTAAAAATTGAGTCTAATTTGTCCCAAAATTTTCAGTTACCTGATATGAAAACTAAGTATGGTTAAAATAACCGTTTTACAGAATAGTTTGAAAATTACTATAATGATATGCAGTTTTGCAAAAATCATAATAAATTTTATAAAGATCGTATGAATGTGTGTGAGTGTTCCATGAAAAGGAATCAATCTGAAATACTTGCATACAAAACAGTTTTCCAAACGATAAGGTTTAAGGTGGGCAAAACATGTCTTAAATAGACCACAATTTTTCACATAAAATCATAGCATTTGTAGTATTTTTTCAAGAGTGTTTTTGCATAAACAAAATGTGTGAGAACATGTATTCCATCGCTCCCCCCCCCACCCAACCCTTATATATATATATATATATATATATATATATATATATATATATATATACACACACACACACAATACAAAAAGGGTCCACAAGCACTCACGTTAGAAACATGAATTTGGTTTAGACTTGAGAATTAGATTGTGTTCGAGAAGCACCATGAGATAGCAGAAATTAGCAACGAATTTTGATCCGGTTTTTTGGATGCAATACACATGAAATAAACAATAGAAAGTAAAGACTTTGTCTTGTAGTTTTCACAAAAAAAAATGGCAGCAAGAGGTTGCAACCAAGTGGTGGTAGTTGCTCGACTAAAACAGGGTAGAAGGCGATGGTTCTCAACGGTTATCGATTGCTGATTGCACCTCCTGTGGAAAGGGTTTTAGACCAAGAGATATGGGGAATGGAAAGGGTAATATTGAATGCTCAAGTTTCATTTTTATGTGTTCACTTAAGGAGTCCAAGGCTCCTTTTTATAGCCTCATGGAGGCTTGCATGACCCTCCATGCACCATGCTTTGAATGCTAGTCAAACACACAAAAAGGATCCATGCTTCATACTTGGAAGTAATAGAGAATGGGAGGAAGGTGATGGAAAGGGTTTTGGACGTTATCAAAGGGAAAGAAAGAAGTCAAGGGCTGATTTCTCATTCATACAAGGTGGCATGTACTTACATGATGCCATCTTTCTCAAAAATGCCCCAAAACTTCCCTAGATTTGTGTGCCAAGATCCCGACATCTAATATTTTTTTTTGAAAGAGTTGCATGATAGGCCCAGTTCACTGATTCCAGAAACTCGAACCAATTCATTTTTCAAGTTCTAAAACTCTAGGAAATCCCATTTGAAGATTCGTGTCTAATTGACCCAAAAGGTTTGATTTCTCGAATTTTACAAATATTTTAGCTAAAAGTATTTCGAGTATGAAGTTAAATAATAGACCATAACCTGAGTCCAAAAATATTCTAGGAACTACCATTTGAGGTGTGCAAATACCTTAACATATCGAAACTGTTTATGCAGTTTAAAGAAAATTAGTGTTATACTGGTTTGGTTTCTTATAACGGTCGTATCTTTTCCATACTAACTCCATTTTTTACGTTCTTTATATTTATGGACTCATGTGAACATATACCTTGAGACTAAAGTATTTTATTCCCTTACAAATGCTTAATACGAAATTTTTGTTTTTTTAGACGTATTAACTAGTGTTACAGTTTGTGTTGCATGTTTCGCTGGAGATTTTCCTCAATTGGAAGTAAGATATCATCTCGTATCTTATGACACTATTTACATTCCAAAATGTGCATTAAAGCTCAATAATTCAGGTTTCAAAGAGGTTTTCTGTGAACTGGCTGTTTACAGTTTTATACCTAAATTATGAGATGTCACATTTCCTCCCCGTTGAAAGAATTTCATCGCAAAATTATTGTGTTCTACACTATTTTGTTCCACCAATGGAGGGAGCATAGCTAAAAAGTTATGAATACTTTTTTTCATCTGATCCTCACATTGCCAAGTAGACTTCGTCCCTCTACGAGAGTTCCATCAGATTTTCACTATATTTTTCTGATTTCTCATCAGAGAGACACTTCTTAACATGACACACTTGGAAGGTATCGTGGAATTTGTTTAGTTCTTGAGGTAATTTAAACATGTAAGATAGCCGACCAATCCTTGCCAAGATTTCGAAAGGTCTGATGTAACGGGAGTTTTGTTTACCTTGTTTTCTAAATCTGCTAACACCCTTCCATGGAGAAACCTTTAGCAGGATACGATCTCCTAATTTGAATTTGTACAGTATGGGTCTTATGTAAGCATATCTTTTCTATCAACCATGTGCGGCCTTTAATCGTTCCTTTATCTGAACAGTCTTCTTTGTTATTTCATGAATGATCTCGGGACCCATGAGTAGAGTATCTCCAACATGCTTTTTAGCTAGTTGTGTATCTCACACATTTTCCCTTCATATTGGAGAACGAAATTTGCACCCGTAAAAGGCCTCGAATGTGGCCTTTATGCTAGTGTGATAACTATTGTTGTATGACAATTCAACTAACAGTAAGTGAGTGTCCCATGTACTGCCGAAGTCGATCACACAAAAACAGAGCATATCTTCAAAAGTTTGTATTATTCTTTTGCTCTAGCCATCCGTTAGAGAATGGTATGATGTACTCATATCGAGTTTGGTACCTTGGGACCTTTGTAAATATTTCCAAAATCTTGAAGTGAATCTACTATTTCAGTTTGAGATGATAGATACTGGCACACCATGTAGTTTGACTATCTACTTAAGATAGGTCCTGGTGAGTTTCTCCATCTTGTCGGTCTCTTTGATATCTAGGAAATGAGTGAACTTGGCTAAACGGTCAACCACTACCTAAATGGTGTCACAACCGCTTGATGTTTTTGGAAGATTTTTTTTGAAGTCAATGGTTATTTGTTCCCACATCTATCCTGGGATTGATGCTTTTTGAAGTAGAGCAGATGTTTTTTGTTATTCTACTTTGACTTTGGAGCAAGTCAAGCATTTACTGCCATAGGTGGAAATTTTTGCCTTTATGTTAGGCCACTAATAAAGCTTCTCAAGAATGAGATACACCTTATATGATTTGGGATGTATTAAATATCTCGACTTATGAGTTTATTTAACACTAGACTCCTGACTTAACGAACCTTAGGGTCAAAATTCGGTTCATGAAATATTGTGTTTTTTTGTTCTTGAGGTCGAACTATTTGTCCATACCTGGCAAGTTTTCCTCTACGATTATCTCGGGTTTGAGTGCTTTTAGTTGATCATCTTGAATTTAGGTGGTGAGATTGGAGTGGATGGTTACAGTTTAGGCTTTTTAAAAAAGTGAGTTTTATTGTCTTTCCTTCTTAAAGTGTCTACTATGGCATTTTCTTTACCAATATGGTAACGAATATCACATTCGTAATCATTTAGTAGTTCGACCCACCTTCGTTGTCTCATGTTGAGCTCCTTCTAGTTGAAGATATGTTAAAATCGTTTGTGGTCGGCGAATATGATACACTTCGTTTCATATAGGTAGTGTCTCAAATTTTTATGGAAAACACTACCACTCCCAACTCTAGGTCATTTGTAGTGTAGTTTGTTTCATTGGAATTAATTTGTACGGGATGCATATGCAATAACTTATTCCTTTGTATCAATAGGCATCCTAACCCTCGGTGAGAGGCATCGCTATAAGTCCCCAAATCTAGAACCAACTAGTAATCAAACACAAGAACAACCTAAAATCAATAAGAACAATAAGGAGTAGAAGCAAGAATGATCCAAATTGCACACGTTTGTATTGAGCTGTAAATGTCAGGTTCAATGGAACACACATATACAGTCATTAACATTTCTAACAAGACTGACACCTATATATAGGAATAGTGAACCGCAAACGGGTTCACGGCCGCAAATACCACTTGAACCGAAAATAACATGTTTTCGGTTCACCCAACCGTTAACACCCTAAATACACCAATAAACACTAACAAAACCTATACAGATGGATTCCTAGCCCAAACCAACAAAATATGACCTAACAGTCTCCCCCTTGGTTTGAGGCTAGCATGAATTCAGTCTTTTTCTACGACCAGCACGTTAGATCTTCCTATCGCACCAAGCTACATCTTGTTCTCAATGATCTCCGCAATCATGCTTTTTAAATTCTTTTGTCGTAGCCTCAAAAATCTCTTGCTTGCAAATGATCTTGTGATGCGCCAAATTTTTTATATCCCTTTCACCAAATTGTAGCAAAATCCCTTTTATCAACTATGCGAAAAACACTATCTGGGATTTTGATGACAGCAGAAGTTGTGGCTTCATAAAAAAACCTAGTATTCCATATTGCGTAGTGATCTATCAAAAAAATTCTTCATAATAGGAATATGTGTCATATATTTTGTAGGGGTCACATTACATTCTTGAAGCTCTTGTTGGTCTTAGGGTCAAGAACACCTTTGGCTCTTTTTAGGAAAGATTCAGCAGTCTTCATCCCATCAAATTTCCTCCTAACTTGATTCTCCAATAAAAGTTTGAAATCAGTTCCATGAGGATCATTGGTTGGGTTGGAGAATGGAACTTCAGAAAGCTCATTAAGATCCACCTTTGTCAAAGAAGAAAAATTATTCATGTCCTTGTAGTACTCGACATTACCGCTCTTTCGCTTCACCAGCCAACAATTTAATCTGTCATGAAAGCCCCACATAACAATTCCTAAACGATCACCATATTTATTTTTGAACTGAATATTATGATCTAAGTTTTTCATGAAGAGCCACTTCCCCTTCTTTTGTGAAGATACGTGTCTCCAGGCTTTTTTGAGAGAAGCTATGGGACGAGCTTGAGTAGGTTATGTCTCAAATTGGTCAACAACTGTTGTGGTGTTGACTGGTGGAGGATTAACGAAAGGATCTTGTTCAGATGTATTGGTAGGGGCAGATGGATAAGTCTCAGCTTCTTTTGGATCTTCGACGGTAGTTTTGAATTTGTCGCCAAATTCTACAATAAGCTTGTTCTTCAAGTCGTAGTATCCAGCAGTCAGGCCTCCAAGGTTGATCTGTAGAGTATATTTTTTTTTTTATTTTAGAGAATTTTCTTCCTTAAGCTCAGAAACTCGAATGTCAAGATTTTGAATCAAAACATCCTTCTCGAGAATCTTCATATTTAATATACCAATGTCTACTTTAAGTTCTGAAATCGATGGGTCCGCTCCCCTTGAGCTTCCTTCACCTATAGATATACCTTTGGCTCGGGTTGAATAGTCAAAATCTTGTTGCACCAACAACCTGGAAATCCTCTCAGAGGCAGCATCATGCATAGGTTGTGGTGGAGAGCGACCCCCGGGAGCTGAATAACTCCCGGCTTCATGAGAAGATCGAGCAACACTTGGTCCTTCTTTTAAAACTTGACTTTCTTCCAAGGTCGCTTGTTGGATTAGCGATGCTTGTTCTCTGATCATCACTCCCGGCCTTGGGTCGACTCTTCTCCTTTTGATTGGAGGATGGGAGGCTTGTTTCAAAATAAGATCGCTCTCAGATAGCAAAGAGGTTGGAGTAGCAACTGGAAGCAGAGGAATCCTTGAAGTTGTATCCACTTCGCTGAAGTGTCGGCCATCTGATCAAAAGTTGGAGACATCACTTTGAGAACATTACTGACTCCCTATGTCTCCGTTGTAGGTTGTACAACATCATTATCGAGGTCCTCATTGCTTAGCCTTAAATCATTATCCTGCTCAATGTCGAAGAATAAATCATCATTATCATATCCAGATAGATAGATCACCACCTAGAACAATATCATCTTCTTCATCATCATCATCATCATCATCATCATCATCATCATTCACATCAGTCAATGAACATGTTCCTCGGTAATGATTGCAACAGGAGGAACAAGTTATTCTTAATGTTTAGAAGCTAAAATATTAGTAGGAAACCCGAGCTATGCTTCGCGAATGGTTTGCTCTGACACCACGATCTTCTTTCCATTAATAATTGATTCCACTGTATCTTCACTATCTTCTCTTTTCTACACATAGGCTTTGTTCCAGAATTGCTTTACCAAGTCTTGACAGATGATGGTATTTGTCCTGAAGGCATGTGCAAGATAGCATCCATTGAGTCCATGAATCATGGACTTGAATTCTTGGTGTGCAGCTGGTGGATCAAACAAGAAAGCAACTATGTTGTGGTTGTCAGAAAATTTCAAATCTGCCATTTGATCTGCACCAAACGAGCTAAGTGAGAAAACTAATGATTTAATCAATTAAAATTAAGTTTTCTCATTTATCAATTAATTAGGCTTCAATTTAATTTAATTTGAATCAAAAAATAGTTTATGGCTAAAAACATGTTTCACAACCGTAAACGGGTTAACGGTCGTAAACGTGTTAACGGATGTACACCGTTGGCGGTCGTAAATGTTGTTCATCACCGATAATCGTTTTTGCATTAATAGATCCTCAAAATGTGATAGATTCACATGAAATACAACTGTGTGGCGTTCTCCTTTACAGTACATACACGAATCACAGGTCAATTTCAAATAATAACAACAAAACAATGATGAATCGGAGTGAAGATTGAAGAACAGTTGAGAGAGAATGGTAAGGGGATGCGGCCGAACCCGTGAATGGTGAATCTGATGGGTTTTACAGCGGAGAACCATTTCCTTTTATACCTTGGCCCATATCTAGTCCATATCTCATAGGCTGCAAACCCAAAAGACTTCAAATCGAAGCCCAATACATCAAATTTTAATAAAAAAAAAATGAAAACATTTTGGAAGACTTAAAAATAAAATTAAAAACTTAAAATAAAAATAAAATCTAAAACTTAAATTCAAACTAATATTTTTTTAAATTTTAATTTTTAGAAAAGCAAAAAAATAAAAATAAAATAACACTCATTTCTTTTCACCATTACCAATATTATTTTCGTGATTTTGGGATCAAGGTTCTAAGACATCCTTAATCTGTTTTTCAGTACATCCACCTTCATGAATAGATCTGGTAAATCAACGGTATTGTGGTCCACTTAGTCATGAAACATTGTGAAGAATTTGGACATGTTACTAGTGACAAGACAGTTTAACTAGATACCTAATTAATACTCCAAGAGGACCATTTAGCTAACGACGACCATGGATATTGTTGTCCACGTAAATTTAGCAGCGAGATCAACAGACAACCTATTCATTGTTTAATTTTAGATGTACTAGAATGTGTTTCTCATTTCCTGATATACCCCAGTAATCAAGAACTTCCAAAGTACTCCTTACTTTAGATGAGCAAACAATTATTAGGATGGAAGTCAGATGTAGAAATGCATATGTATTAATCCCAGGTCGAATATCTTCCAATCACATAGAGATTGACATATGACTAACTGAATTAGAGAGATTGAGAAATAGAATGTTGCATATGTTGTGTTCTAGGTCGGATAAGAACTTATCGCGTAAAGGAGACATCATATGACTAACAGACAGAAAGAATTTCATATAAAAGGAGATGCATAGAGATAGACTTGCATATGTTGCATTCCAGGTCAGATATCTTCCAATCACGGAGAGGAGGCAACATATGACTAACAGATAGAAAGGAAGAAAATAACCTTCTATAGACCAACTTTATCAGAATTCCCCAGTCGCCATATCAGTACTGGAATTAAGGACATGTGTCCATACATCGAGGAAAAGTTACACCACAGTTCTAGATATAGATTACTTTGAGTGTATCCCGTAGATTCTCATGTATATCTCACTGCTCAATCCACCCGAGCATCGTACTGTCATACCAAACGGAACTACCTAAGTCAATACTTTTCGAATCATTTTAAATGTCCGTCTATACCTAGTCTGGTCCATTGAAATCTTTCATGCCTACGAGTGCATTGAACACAAAGCCTACACATTTCAGTGATGGTACCTTACACAAATTAAAATTGCCTATTATCACTTCGTTAATATCACTTCCCAGCACATCACCTGCAGATAGACTCTCATGAGACACTATTTTTGTATTTTTCACATTTTCTGGGAAAAAAAATAAAACATAAATAACACTATTTTTGGATTTTCAAATTTTATGATTTTTTTTCTTTTATTTTATTTCTCCCCCTAAATTTGTGCATAGGAGAGAAAGGAAATTAAATGCGCAAATTTGAAATAACCTAAAACAAAAACCAGTCTTCAAAATGTAGCATTTTTAGAAAGCCCACAAGCACATCGGATCGAGCTTTGTTAAACGGTTTGGTGAACAAATCTGCCACATTATTATCAATCTGAATCTTCTCCAACCGGATGAGTGAACCCTCATAACAATCTCTGATAAAATGAACTTTGATGTCGATGTGCTTGGTTTTGGAGTGTTGGACAGGATTTTTAGCGATTTGGATTGCAACATCATTATCACATAAGATATGGGTTTCAAGAAAATTCAAATCGTAGTCTAACAGCTGATATTGAATCCAAATGAATTGAGAGCAATAGGAAGAGGAAACAACATATTCCGCCTCCGCCATTCAGGTCGAGACAGTTTGTTGTTTCTTGTACTGCCAAGACACCAGACGGTCGCCTAAGAATTGACATCCCCCGGAAGTTGATTTCCTATCAAGTTCACAACCTTCATAATTGTTGTCAACAAATGCATATAAATCAAAATCAGAATTTTTAAGATACCAAAGACCCAATTTTGGGCTACCTTTGATATACCTAAAGATTCTTTTGACAGCAACTAAATGAGAGAGTTTAGGATTAGCATGATAACGTGCACACTGACAGACTACGAACATGATGTCGGGTTTGCTCGTAGTCGAATAGATCAGGGATCCGATCATCGATCTATACTATATTTGATCTACAGATTCACCTGAAGGATTAGGAGACAACAAGCGTCATTCAGCCATCGGCGTCAAGGCAACTTTGGAGTCCTTAAACCCAAACCTCTCAAGCATGTCTTCAACATATTTTCCTTGATGCAAAAGGATTCTGGTTGAATCTTGATGGGCCTGTAACCCCAAAAACATGGTCATTTCTCCCATGGAGCTCATCTCAAATCTCTTCTTCATAATGGTCTCAAACTCTTTGCACAACTTTGAGCTTGTCGTCCCAAAAATGATGTCATCAACATATATATGTACAAGAATGAGATCAACATCCACATGCTTTATGAAGAGTGTCTGATCAATCTTGCCTCTGGTATAACCATGCTCGAGCAAATGATCTATTGGAGTAGCATACCAGGCTCAAGGAGCCTAATGTAACCCATATAGAGCCTTATCTTATTTGTAGAGATGGTTTGGAAATTTTGAGTTGAAAAAACCGGGAGGTTGATCAACATAAATTTCTACTTTCACATCTCCATATAGAAAGCCAATTTTACCGTCCATTTGATAAACAGTGAACCCCATGCAGGAAGCATAAGCCAGGAAGATACGGATAGCTTCAAGGCACACTACAGGAGGATATACATTAGTGTAGTCAAGTCCTCAATTTTCCGAAACCCACAAACAACCAAAGGCGCTTTGTTTCGCACAATTACCCCACAATCATCTTGCTTATTACGGAACACCCAACGCATGTCCAAAGACTTTTTGCCCTTTGGCGGCTCAACCAGTTTCCATACCCCTAATTTCTCAAATTAATTAAGTTCCTCGTGCATTGCATCAACCCAACTAGGCTCGTTCAGTGCCATTTCCGCGTTCTTTGGCTCAGTCTGAGAAATGAAGCAAGAGTAGACACATGTATTGATATCTCTACTTTGACTCCTCGTTTTAACTCCATCACCTAGTTGACCAATGACATTTTCGATCAGATGATCGTGTTGAGGTCTGGCTGGAATTTCATGGTTGATGTCATTGATAGTGACAGGAAGGTTGTTGATGTTAATGAGTCCATCATCTGCTGAATCATCCGCCTCAAACGATCTGGAATTGTGAGAGGTGCTTGCCACGTAATCATTTTCATATGCCTCGAGAAAGAGAAGCTCCATGAAAGATTGAGTAGTAGCGAAAGTATCTCTGGTCATGAACTATCTTTCAGCAGGAGTGAGTGGAGTGGCATCAGCATCAGGATTGATTTTTTGGCTTGGAGAATCTGAAGTACTTAGAATAGCTTCATCCATCCTAGGAGTTGTAAAAGGCACGAAAGGTGGTTTGTACACAAAATCTTCCTCTTCATCTTCAATAACAACCTTCGTACAAGAGCAATAACCTGAAACATCATCTGAAAACACATTAATTGATTTAAATAAAGAAGCATAATCAAATAACCAGTCAGGACCGACTCTAACATATGTCTCATTCTTTTCCAGCTAGCGCACATCGAAAGAGTCTACAATATGCTTGGTTTTCTTGTTGTATACATGATAAGTAGTGCACCAGCATGTCCCACGAAGTAGTAGTCATTAGCCTTCGAGTTGAACTTGGTGTTGGACTCTAAGTGAAGGAGGGTGCAAGGACATCCAAACATTTAGAAGTGAGCAACTGATGGCTTGTAATTTTACATAATTTCATATGAGGTCTATCTAGGCTTTGTTGATCAGGACACAGTTATGGATATAGCAAGCAGTGTTGATCGCCTCTGCCCAAAATAAGACTGGTAGTTTAGAATAATAGAGCATCGTCCTTGTAGTGTCCATTAGAGTATGATTGTGCCGTTCAGAAACAACATTTTGTTGAGGTGTATGAACAGCACTGTACTAACGTATTATACCCTTTTCACCACAGAAATGATCCAGAACAGCTTTCTTGAATTCCATGTCGCTATCAGTTCCGAGCGCCTTCACTCTCTCATTTGTTTGGTTCTCAATCATCATAATGAACTTCTTGATCCAATCAGCAATTCCTCTCTTGTTGGATGAGAAGAAAACCCATGTAAACCGTGAGTAGTCATCTATCACAACCAAGCAATAAGAGCTCTTGTTGATGTTGAGAAAGTTAACCGGACCAAATAAATCCATGTGCCATAATTAGAGAACTTTGTTGATTGAGTTGACAGCCTTTGGCAAATAAGGCTTACGATGTTTTTTTCCTTGAGCACATGCCACTCATTTTTCAAAAGTGATTAAGTCTTTGATAGGGAGGCCACACACTATCTCGTATTAGCAAGATGATTCAGGTTCTTGGCCTTCGCATGGCCAAGACGACGATGCCAAAGCCTGGCATTGTGTTCAGAGACTTTAGAGAAGAGATATGTAACTTGTTCCGTGATATTATGATTCATGTCTATGATGTAAGAATTTCCATCTCTCTTCGATTTCACCAAGATTCAATCTTCGGGAATAATGATTCCAGACTACAAGATAAGGCACACTTTGTCAGTGAAGTGAATTGAATAGCCTTTCTCGCAGATCTATGAGACACTCAACAAACTATGCTTTAACTCGGGAGCATAGTTGACGTTTAAAGCTCAGTACTCCATTTGTGACAGTTCCTTTCTAGGTGATCTTCCCGCCTTCTCCTCCCATGATGGGAACATAGCCCCCATTGAAATTTTGAATGTCATGCAGTTAGGAGATGTCTCCTGTCATGTGCCTGGAACAACCACTATAGACATACCAGGGTCAAACGGCATTCCTCCGTAGCTGTTCCTACACGATACGCGAGATTAATTAGATTTTGGAACCCACACCATTGAAACACTGGGTTTTCCCTTTTTAGAAACATAAATTTCCTTTTCACTTTTTGAATTGGATTTATTACCAGATGC